TGAACAAAGCCGCAATAAACATGGGTGTGCATATATCTGCCTAGGTGGAAGTTATGGTTTCTTGAGAGTATATTCCCAGTAATGGAATTGCTGGGTCAAATGGTATTTCTATTTGCAACTTTTTGAGAGAGCGCCATACAGCCTTCCATAGCGGCTGTACCATTTTACACTCCCACCAACAGTGAATAAGGGTTCCAGTTTCTCCCACAACGTTGCCAGCATTTGTTTGCTGTTCTATTAAATTTTGCTATTCTTACTGGGGTGAAATGATATCTCATAGTTGTTCTGAATATTTATGGGGGTTTTAAAATCATTTATACATGTCATATCCAACAGCATCTCAGGAGTTGACCACACAGAAGCAGTTAGCACAGATTGTCTGACTACTTTGGGGATGTCCCAGCTCTTCTAGTAGTGGGCTGCATGAGACTGTGATAATTTCACATCTGGGTGACTAATAAGAGTATTATCACAGTGATAATACTCACTCTCTCTGTTTACCTTCCACTCAAGTTGTGAGAAAATAATAAATAACAAGAGCTATGAATGGCAGGCTGCATTGTACAAAGAGTAGAAGCTGATTGTCGTTATGTGCTGTCGAGCTGAGTACGACGCATAGCAACCCTATGAACAATAGCTTTGAACCCTGTTCTATCCAGTGCCATCCTCATCCTCTCTGATACACTTGAGTCCATTGCTGCAGTTACTGTGTAATCTATCTGTTTGAGGATGCTCCTCTTTTTCTGACCCTCCACCTTCCCATCCTTGACTATAAGGAGCACACTGAGGACTGTACCTTCTCCAACATTTATCTGTTTGTTCTTTTGGCAGTCCACGAGATACTCAGTACTCTTTTCAAACACCACAACGCAGAGGCATCACTTTTCCTTCTGTCATCCTTTTGCATTGTCCGGCTTTCAGATGCACAGCAGAAACTGAAAAGATCATGGTCTGAATCAGGAGCACTTTAATCTTCAAACTCACATTATTGTTCCTCACTATCCTAAAGAGGTCCCAAATAGTTGGTAATAATACTAAATATTCATTCTTAAAAATGGTTTCCATGGTGATGGTTGCACAATATAATGAATGTATTTGCTATCAATATGTATTCAATATAATGAATGTATCACTGGCATACTGTACAGGTAAAATTGGTTGAAATAGAAAATGTTTTGCGACATATATTTTTCATAATTTTTCTTTTTGAAACTGAACTAGAATAAAAAAAAAATGCAGGAGAGGAAACTGTTACTGGGGAGGCAGTGTGAGATAACTCAGAGAACTACACTATGCAGTCAAACACGAAGGGATTTTTTTCCCAACACATGTCCTTCCATATGTAAAATCTCAAGAGTCTCAGTGTCTTCATCTGCAAAACAGAAATCTTACTGACCGATTCATGTCAATCACTTAATAGGTTCTCAACTAAAAATAGCACTTGGTAGTGGTGTTATTCTCAAAATTAAGGCCTGTTTCCTGGAAGGATATCACAGGGGCAAAAGTATTTGAATTAAAGTCAGCCGTCTATGCTGGGAGTTTCCTGCTTAATAGACCTGCTTAAGGAGCCAGCCAATCAGTACTTAAGGATTTTCCAGTTCCATTATTGTTGCTGTTGTTGTTGAGGACAGTCGAATGAGAACTGGCCCACAGCTGACCCTCAACAGGTTTTCAGAGGCAGTAAATCACAGAGGAAGACGCTGCACATCTTTATCTCACAGCACAACTAATGGATTCCAATGGCATCCTTTGCATTGCCAGCTCAACTCATTACCATTAAGCCACCAGAAACTGTCAACAACTTCATCATACTTGGATCCACAATCAGTACAGCTCAGTCAGATAATCAATCCACAATCACTTTCTATGTATCTGAGAACTGGACAGTTGAGTAAAGATGACAGAAAAAAGAATGATTCCTTTGAGCTGTGGTGTTGGAGAAGTGTACTGACTGTTTCATGGACTGCCAAAAAGAACAGATAGGTGTTGGGAGAACTTGGAGCAGCCAGAGCGCTCGTTGGAGACAGGGGTTAATAAATTTTCTTCTCACATACTTTGGGCAAGTTGCTAGGAGAGGTTATTCCTTGGGAAGGGACATCATGCTTGGAAAGGTTGTTGGGTACCATAGAGTCTGAACCTTACCTGCCATAGCTTACCTTCCAGCGGATTTTCAGAGGCAGTTAAATCTGACGAGAGGAGAGGGTCCATTCTCCCACGGAGCAGCTGGTGGATTCAAAGGAACTGCCTTTATGATTGTAGCAAAGCTCCTTACTACTAAGCCACCAGTGCTCCCTTGGAAAGGTGAACGGATGGTTAAAGAGAAAAAGACCCTCAACCAAGTGGATTAACAGTGATTTGCAGCAGTAGAGAAAAAGACCTTCAACCAAGTGGATTGACAGAGTGATCTGCAGCAGTAGAGAAAAAAGACCCTCAACCAAGTGGATTGACAGTGATTTGCAGCAGTAGATTTGAGAGTGTCAGAGATTGTGAGGATCGGACGGAAGAGGTCAGGGTTCAGATCTGTTGATCATAGAGTCCCTATTGATCTTACTCGACTCGATGGCACCTAACAACAAGCTATCAGAGCTCCCTAGCTCCATTACTAGGCACTGGTAACTCTATTGGACGTGGCTGGATTCAACCATGCTCCAAAGTATAACAACTGCACAAATGAAACATCCCCTGCCAGCCACAGAAATGCCTTCAAAAGTCTCGGGGTGAATTAGCACCCAAAGTGCAACAGGCAGGAGGGGAAGATGTGCGACTCACCTGGTCGTGGGAGTCAGCGGAGCTGTAGATCTAACCGGAAGAGGTCTAGCGATGAACCATGTGCGCAGCAGCCCAGGTCGCGGCGCTTTCTATTTTAAACCTCGCGGGAGGGGCCGGCAGCCAATCCCCGCGCGCGCCCTCCGACCCGGAAGCAGAGGCGGCGCTCGCTGTGGCCGCTCCTGCGGAGACCTGCTTCTCTCGGGCTGCGGTCCGGCGCCCTTGGGTGCGTATCGAGCGGGCATTCCAGAGGCTCGTGTCGTCTGCTGCCTGCCGCCCCACACTTCCACCCTGTCCCCTAGTCTTCCTCTTCTCCTCCGACTGTACCCACTTTTTATCCCACCGACTGCGGGTCCGGGGAGGCGCGAGCAGGTCCTCCCGGGACTCCGCTGACCCCAGCAGAGATGTGGAGACTTGTTGGAGGGACTTCTCTTGCTCACTATTCACCCCTTCTACCCTTCCAGGGTTAGAGGAGAAAGTCTAGGCCACTGTTTACCGTAAGTCCCTAAAATGTGCAGTGACATCGAGGACTCAATAAGTCGGATTTCCGAGGCTGAAGTCGAGTTTCCTTGATCCCCTCGGGATTCCCACACCATTCGGCTTCCTTTGGCATCTCAGCTGCTGGTTACCTGTAACAGGTATCCAGTCTCAGATGCCCGCTCGGGAGGATTAATACCTTCTTAGCTCTCTGAGGTCGATTTCATTTGAACTGCTTATGGATTTCTTGCAGATTATCAATTGATGTGTTCTTATTTTCAAGCACATAAAATCCATACGTGTAACCTTTAAAAACACTTTTCAAGACCATCCTTACCATAGGAATACTCCTCGCAGAATGTCCAGGAGGCCCACTCTGGTTAGTTGGAATTTTGCATCTGGTTTTACAAAAACTAATTTTTTATCTTACACATCGAGACACTCCTTTGTCCAGAACGCATTAGATTTTGTATATGCTTCGTTTATAAGGCTTTCCCCCCTGACTCAATATGTCTTGGGATTGTGAGCTCTAGTTTTCTTTCCTAACATTGGTGTATCTCATGTAGAAAAGTCTTTCAAATACTGACTCCACTTTGGAGCTTGATAACTTACTTACCCTCCTGAAGCTTTAATTTCTTTCTCTGTAAAATGAGAAACATAAATACTTTTCTCCATCTTAAAAACCAAAAACCCAAACCCACTATAGTGGACTCAATTACAACTGGTTGGCCTGAGGTTGGGTTTCTGGCCATGTAAATATTCACAGGCAGACAACTGACTGCCATAGGCGCATACCAATATTAAGTGTGGTCATGTCTGTAAAGTGGTTAGCGTGTTGCCTACAAATAGTGCTCAGAAAATGTTAGCTGCTACCGTTCTTTATGAATGTGTTTAATATTACATTGATCGGGGGTAAGACTGAGAAAAACTGGATGAAATATGTTTACGGCATTGAAGTCTATGGGGGAGAGAATAGTCTAAAAGTATTATATTTTAGGCCATTATTTT